TCGAGCGTCAGCCGAGACTCTTTCCGAGTCTCCGGCTTGGACCCCACCAAGTTCTCGTCAGTCTGAACTCTCTGCGGGGCTTCGTAGTCCGGAACACACTCGTGCCCCGGGATGTCCACGCATTTCTTGTGAACTTCCGTATAACGCTGTCTCGCGTGGAAAACTTGCCGCAACTTGTCTTCCAGCAGCGGGTTCGTTCCTTCCAGTCCGCTGCAAACCTGGCGAGCCCAGTCAAAGTACCTCTGGACCCGGATCTCGGTCCACCCGACCGGATACGCGCGATTGATATCCCGCAAGTTGTACAGCTTGTCGGCTAGTTTCACCAGTTTCGCCTCGTAAGTGGAGCGTCTGGCATTCAGGATTTGATTGTGCTTCCGTTCTTGCCAGGATAATCCCGGGTCGTCCGTGACTTGTTCCACGATTTCGCGAACTCTGGGGCCAAAGTGTGACCCGATTTCCTCGAAGGTCGTGTCCGTGTCTTCGACTGTGTCGTGAAGAACGGCTGCCATGAGCACTTCGACGTCTGTGATCCCCCCTTCGTCTGCCAGTATTTGAGCTACGCCTGTGCAGAAATTGATTCATGAATATAACCTAATTACACCCGTACATAAACACATCAACAGTTGAAATATGAATGAAAGACTGGCATAAAAAAAATTTTATGAAGCAAACTTCTGGAGACAAAAGTTTTGACTCGCGCAATTAATTTTCCTGACAAAAAATGCAAAATTTCAGGCAAGTTATCACTTCAAACATTTCAAATTTTTTTCAATAAGACAAATATTTTAGAAGAAGGCCCAAATCCTCGGCATCATCAAGCTTTATTCTTCTTCTTTTCAGCATTCACAAGGTTCAATCAACATTCTCACATCTAAACCACCTCCCCACCCAACCCAGTTCCATTCAAACGCATTCAATCACTCCAGAATGGGAAAAAGAGAAAAAGCTGTATTAGTGTATATGGATACCAGAATAAAAGAAAATACATTCCACAATTACAACTGCACAACTGATGTGTATGGGTACACCCCTTCTTTCCCTGACATTGGAAACAAAATATCAGTAACAAGAATCGCAGTATATGACAGAATTAAAGCAATTGCAGCAGTTACTGAACCCAATTTGAATATTGAGTATTTGAACGTTCGAACCCAATTTGAATATTCGAATATACGTATATAGGGAAAGGTTTCAAGAAAAATTGAGGCTATTCTTACAGGATCAAGAACAAAAATCTCTCTCACCCAGTGGATGATTAATGTAAGGCGTTTGTTGGGGGTCTTTCCTCCGTTGTCTGGCGTGTTTAATTGCAGCAAAATTCGCACACCTCAGTAAACGTACTGCTTCGTTCTCAAAGGTCGAATTGCTTTGCATGCGCTCCATTTTGTTCGTTAATGAATGCTCGTCTAACCACCAGAATCGTCCATTTCTCAGCAAGACTTTTACGTCTGATGAAAGGAAAAAAAAAAGAAACCGCAAGTTCAAGTGATCGTCGAATTCATTACTTTCGAGATGTGTCAATATGCTACTTTTCTTGCTCGTAGAAAGTCTCGTGATCCACAAGGGTGCCAAGTTTTCGCCTCAAAAATCAAATCGGGACTTCAGAAACTTTCAGCAGAAGGCGGACATTTCAAAATGATTTCCAGCATGCAGCGACTCGTTCGGATGACCATCGCAAGGTTTTCAGACCAAACGCGCATTTAAAAAGGAATAATTTAAATGAATAAAAAACCCTCGATATTCATGAAGTCCTTTGGGGCACTTCCTCCGTATTCGTATACGTAAGTAAAAGAAGCGGTTAAAAAAAAGAAAGGCTGTTTCTATGTAAAGAGAAAAGAAAAAGGTGCTAATCTTTTGTTCCTAAAGATTGATGAGATGTTCACTTCACGGCTGGCTTCGAAATTTTGCAGACGTAGCCTTTGTAGTGGAAGCAGTTGTTGTCATTCCAGTGACCACTTGAGCCGTACATTTCCACGCATTTTTCTGCAGGGTCGCTTGGTTCTCCTGGAGCCCAGGATTTGAAGTTGACGGAGCTTCCATCAACCCACTGGAAATGTTCTTTAAAAAAAATTTCGAATAATAAACAAGTTTCTGTCGTGAGATTCCAATAATGCGGGTATACTGATGTTTCTGGCGAACTATTTTTTTATGCATTGTCAGCATCACCATTAAAAAAATAATCACTTTCCAGTCAGGCAGATTTGTATTACTGAGATGTGAACATAATTGGTGCATCAAGAGTGTCCCTAAGTCAAAATGTCCCTAAGTTGAGTCTCATTTTCCCTCAGACTTACATTATATAATTTTTAATTGATGTTTTATGTACAAAAAATATGCCATTATTCCATGAAAATAAAAATTGTCTCCCAATTGAAACTGATTCCAATCAATATATTTCACCATAATATGCACATTCAGGGAATTGAATATACTGATACCTCTGTACAGCACATAGAAACATTGGCATTCCCTGTATAAATAACATTCAAGTGAAAAAGAGAGAAGGAAGTCCCTCTATTCTGGAGGTAATTTTTTTTTAATTAGCTAAATGGATGGTAAATTGGCAAGAGAAATGCCCAAGAACTTTTCTCACATCAATTTTAAGGTTTTATATATCTGTTTCTTGTAATTTGGCCTGAAATGTATTTGGAATTTCATCACAAAATGTCCCTATGTTGAGTTAGTGTCCTCATGTTGAACCTTTTTATTGATTTTTATGAGAAAATAAGTGTCCCTATGTTGAATTGTCTGCAGGTTCAGATGTCCTCAGGTGGGGGTCTCACTGTATTTTCTTTGCACAAAACTGGAAATGTTATTATTAGTGGGATTGAAAATAAACTTTTGCGGGCCGAGGAAATGCTATTTTATTTTTGTCCTGATTATCAGATAAACGGAATTTTTAAAATTAAATCCGATTGGAGCTAAATTATGGTACCCAAATTTGAGTAAAAGTTATTTTGCAGCTATCCAGTGTTTGTTGACTTATTGAGCGTAAAACTGTTTATTAATCAGCTACTTTTTACAATTACAGTATACACATTAGGCAAAAATAATGAAAGCCAATGAGAAGATGAACCATAATTTACCATATCCAAGAGTGTCATTTCTCTGAAGTCCAATCCAGATGTCGTGTGAATCTAGTAACTGCTGGTGAATCAAAGTTTGCTCCAGTTCATCCTGAATGCTTGCTAGTGAACCGTTAACCGACTGGCACCTGAGAAATTGTATCATTGAAACATTTTTTTTCAGTAAAGTAAGTTCCGTTTTAAAATTCTTCAAAAAAAAAACTTTCAGAACTGACACATTGAGAGCCCCTTGGAACGTTTGCTTGTCAATACGTTCAACGAAGTAGCAAAACTGCGTCCCGATGTCGATCCACGCAGGAATTTGACAACTTTGGGAATTCGTCTTTTCTTGTGAGTTCAGCAAATTTTTCTCATGTTCTGTGTGAAAAGATGAACTCACCTTTACTCAGGAATCTGAAATAAAACACTTGAGATCGTTTTCTTTTGGATGACTCGCAGTGAATCAGGGACATCTTTGAGAAGAAAATTGAAGGAAAAAACTACCTTATCGATTTGGTATAGGGCTTTTGTGCTGTCCTTATTAACAGAACGAAGGGTAGCTAAATATGCATTCATTTTCCCCTCATAGATGTCACTGGTGCACGCTTTTTTCCTGAATCTATTCTCCCGAAAGGAAATGACAGAAAAAATTTGAATGGTTTTTTTTTTCTTCTCATCTCGTGAGATTGTACCTGAAGCTGGTAGCTCACAAACAAATGGTAATTTTTCATGACATTCCTTAGAATGCCACTTCCCAGATTTCGGTGACATGGAGTAGCACAAGTCTTTCCTTGAATTTCGCTGCAGGTGTTCGGCATTTTTCCTATGATTATGCAATGGTACATTTGCTCGATTCGCAGCGTCAAAGTTTTGGAAACTCATGGGCCAGCCATCCAGCCACTCGAACATTTGCTTTGTTCTCTATGTGAAAGGGGAAAAAATCGATAACATAATACTATTACACATATTTTATAACTTGAGTTTTTAGAAATGTTACCCAACCTGGGAAATTTTCTTCAGCATAATAGTAAATTAATCAAAAGTAGCAATGAAGGACGTCACATTATCTTTATTTGAAATTTCAGAAATACCAAAGCAGTTAAAATTATCTCAAGAAAATTAAATTTTGGCTTTTCTCTGATAATAAGACTTCCGACCAATTTTCACCTTTTGAAATTAAATATTTTAATATTTCATTCTGAGAAACCTTTCTTTGAAGACACCTCTCTAATTTTTTGAAGACATTCCACACTAAAGCCATTTCATTGGTTCTTCACTTAATTTAAAAAAAACCAGAAGCTTTTCAAATAACTGCAATACAGTCTTTCAAGCAAAACTTGTTTGAGTCTGCAAATTTTTTTTGAAAATTTTCCAGCCTGTGAAAATTTTTTTTTTGAAATTTATTGCTGGTCTGCCAAAAAATGCGTGGAAATTTCCCGGTTCATGAGACCCAAAAATTTGGGGAACACAGTTTCATAAATGGTATACAGTATTCTACTTACGTTGAGTGTCAATCCGATCCAAAATTCATTTTCAGAGTCCGACAAGAAAGAAAAGACGAAGCTAAACTCTGCCATTGTGTTTATCGAGATCAAATGAGCTCCGGGTCCAAACAGTCGCCGACAAACTGAGTCTGCGTCAATCCACGTCTCTGCTGTTTGATGAACTGATGTCTCAGTGTAACTGTTTGTCAGCAACGTCGTTATATTGGTTGATAAATCCTCCTTTTCGCTGAAAAACTTGTAGCAGCTATTTTTGAATCTTCGTAAACTTCCTTGCTGGGATTCGCAATATGCTGAATGTTGATCCCGGATGACAGAAGTTCCTTGTTTGTCTGATGAAGTCTCCTTTGCTGTCGGTTCTGGGAAGATGGTAATTTTAAAATAAATTATCCTTGAAAGCAGGTCAACCTACTTCATCAACATTTCTCAAAATTGGAAAAGTTCAACCGGTAAAATCTTTAAAAATGCCGTACAACACAAACACATTGAAAAAGTTGGATGGAATTTAGTGGATATTGCGCAAAAAATTCAACTATCAACATGGAATTCAAAAATTCAACCTTTAAAGAGCATGGTCATCCAAACTTGATCGTCTCTCTAAAATTATTTTCCCAAAATTAGAACGTGACGAATATACTAAGAATATAGTCAATTACTATTTCTCAATTAGTGCAATGAAAAAAAGAAGCATTCAAAGAATGAACTGAAAAAAAAAACAACCAATGCCATAGTTCAGAAAATCATGATATACTCAAGCTTTGACACGTAGAATGAAATAAAATTGAATTTTAAACGAATCTCATCCAAACTTTGTGAAATTACTGGTGTTCAAATATGTTAGCTTGCTGACGAACACGTGATTTAAAAATAAGTAAACCACGAGAAAAGAGATCTGTGCTCAAATTTCTCAAACAGGCTGATAAAGCTAAACCTGGCGCAAAATGACTTATTTGTCAACAATTTTGTCGATCTTGAACAACTTTGCATGTGTGCACATATGTTAAAAAATGTCACATGTGACATTTTTTAACAAATGGGGCATTTTTCTCGAATTTCCTCGCGTTTTTTTCCCGTTTAATCTAAAAGCTGGGAAAGTGGACAAATGAATTTTTTTGTTTCTGATGGTTGATCTCAACACACGAGATATTGCAGTAGTTGAAAACTAAAAGATGGTATTCAATATTTCCTCTCGTCCGCGACGGAAAATTTTCACGCAACATTAGAATGCTTGTCGTTTTTTTTTTTTCAACGTCAACCAAACTGTTTACGTAGAGTCGTTGATTGAAATCTGGGATAATGTTTTTTCGTGTCGAACCGACGAGACTGAAACTTTTACTGCAGTAGCTCAAAACTATAAGATGATATAAAATATCCGCTCGTCCCCGCCGGAAATTTTTCACGCAACATTAGAATGCTCCTCGTTTTGTTTTTGCTTTCAAAACGTCAGCCAGACTGTTAAGTAGTCGTTGATTGAAATCCGGGAATGTTTTTCGTGTCGAACCGACGAGACTAAAAACTTTCAAGTAAATGGAAGCGGCGTCGGAGGAAAATTGATGAGGAAAAAGTAAACTCTCACCAGCAGCAGCGCGTTTGCAAATGAAGGGCAAAGTTTCGTCGCAAGGAAGCGTATTCCACAGCCCATTGCTTCCGTGCAGCCGCATTCCGACGCAATATTCCTGCACTCCGGATAAAAAAAAAGTGGTTGAAATACAATCATTGTGTTCCAAAAGAAGCACCAGAAAATACGACGAAACCCCCAACATGCGGACACCTAAACATGTGGACAATTCGATGCAGGGACACTCATTTTCCCATAAAAAATTGATTTAAAAAATGCCCAACATGAGGACACTGAATCAACATAGGGTGTGATAAAATTGCAAATACATTTCAGGCCAAATTACAAGAAACAGATATTTCCAGAAAAGTTCTTGGGCATTTCTCTCACCAATTTACCATCCATTTAGCTAATTTAANAGTTCTTGGGCATTTCTCTCGCCAATTTACCATCCATTTAGCTAATTTAAAAAAATTACCTCCAGCAAGAGAGGATGACTTCATACTCTCTTTTTCACTTGACTGTTATTTTTACAGAAAATGCCAACATTTCTATGTATTTTGCAGAGGTATCAGCATTAAATTCAACAAATCTCCTAATTGTGTTGAAATAAATATTGATTGAATCAGTTTCAATTGGGAGACAATTTTTATTTTCATGGAATTATGGTACATTTTTTGAACAAAAAATACCAATTAAAAATTATATAAGGTAAGTCTGAGGAAAAATGAGACTCAACTCGGGGACATTTTAACTTAGGGACACTCTTGATGCACCAATCATGTCCGTATCTATAGGGGTCTCAATGTATATGATGAATTTTTCAGAAAAGAATTGCGGGGAAATTGGAGGCGGGGACGGGATTTTACCGGATGACGGGAAATCCTGTCGTGACTGGAAGGTTCGGACAGACTCCAGTCCGAAAAGTCGACGGGTGACTCGTCGCTCCAAGTGAAGGAGTCTCCTTCGGAATATTTGCTGGTCAGTCCCAGCCAAACTGTTTTCCACGATGCCGTGATTCGGTCATCATGCAGCAAGAAATGGACGAAGGCTGTACAGAGAGAGGAAATGAAATGCCACAGGGTCAAAGTCGATATCGGAATAAGTGATATCCTGGTTTTTTTGTTTGCCCTTTTTTTCGTTTTGGCCGAATGGAACCAAAAGGAGTCGACGATTAAAATTTTGCGGCCATTCGTTATTGGTATGCAGAATTGAGAAATAGTTGGGAATGTATCATGGAACATGTTTCTCTTCCATTTCGTATAATCTATTCTGATGAGTTGCGACCAGCAGCGAAAGATCGTGAGTTTATGGGTTTTTTTGACAGTTGGATTTTTCTTTGCAGAAGTTTTATTCGATGAATAGTTTATATGCAGATTAAGTTTTTCTGCTTTTAAGAAACAGCTCGGAATGTATCATGGGTCATTTCTCCTTTTCCAATTCGCATCACCTGTTCTGAGCGAATTCCGAACTGCAAAAGACTGTGGGTCAGGATTTTTTGTCATTTAGCTTCCTTTGTAGAAGTTTTATTTGAAGAATCGATTTATATATATTTTTTTGCAGATGATTTGATACCGTAATTTCCTAACAATCTGCCACATAATTTTTCTTTTATTCCCGCATACAAATAAGAAAAAAAAAGAATGAAGGCGAGCAGTTTACATTACATCCACTTTTTACACTGAAAAATATTTGCATGGCAAATGTTTGCGCATGTTTTACGAGCAACAGAAATATAATACAGTAGTATATAATTATTTATAATGATTTTTAAATCACGCTTTTGGACAATGTCCAGCAGATGACACAAGGAAACATTCAAAAAATTGCGGTTTTAATGAAAAAGTAGCTTTGACGATCCTCAGAAAATAAGAATATGGTTCCTTTCAAAGTTTTTGTTAGATCTCATAGTGGTTTTAATGCTTTAGAGTCATGCTCTATAATTTTCTAACTCAACAGGCCAAAGCAGAAAACCTCAAGAACATCGGAATACAGTATATCAGTATATTCCGAGTTTTCCAATGAGCTCATTGGAAAACTCTTGTAGTATCTTTGTCAAATCAGCCTTCATGATCGGACAATTTCATCTCAATAAGTTTACAAAATTTAACATTCGCTCAATTTTTGAGATTCCGGTTGCTATTCCTGCCTATATATATACAGACATGAATAAGAAGCTTATTTTGATTAATAATAAGCTTATTTTGAATAATAATAAGCGCATTATTCATAAGCATGAATACTAATTCTTGACTATATATACAGACGTATCACTTCTTATTGAAGAAAAATAATAGGTATTTCTCTTTGGAAAACAACCCAGCTAATAACGTAGACAAGACGCTATGAATGTAGGCTCGTATTAATAGAAATTTCAAGCAAGTGAATAAAAAAATGCGTTTAATAACAATATTACCTTTTTCTTTGGAGCTGTGGATCGACAATAAATCGCCCCCGATGAAACGCCGACACGAGTCCCGAACGTGCTCCCAATACGTGATCTCATCGTCGATTGCTGTGGATTGATTCACCCTAGTGCTGATTTCCTCAGGAACTTCCGACCGGATGAAACTCTCGTTGTCGGGAGATAAAGCAGTGTTCATCGAGGAATGTCTTCCGGCTTTGGCATTATCCGGATCCTGTTGAGTGGATATTGGTCAAGATACTTGGGGTCCGATTGCTAGCTGGGGATGATACGGGTTATTGAATGCCGGCGGGGGTATCATGCGATTTTAGAGACAAGAAAGGGTATATAAAGTATATCTAGAAAGTATTGCCGTGTGAACTGCACCAGAGTCTCAATTTTTACTTCAGGTAAACTAATCGTGAATATATAAATACAGTATTCGAAGGAAGGTTCGATATTATACGTGAATTGTAAAGTTCGTCAGCTTCTCGACCTGATACGAGAGTCAAATCCTCCTTTTTTCAAGTGGAACAGACCGATATTTATTTTTTTTGTCCAATCAGCAGAACTGAATTGATCTTGAAAAATATTTTGTTTCCATGAACTATCGATTCGTTGAGACCAAAAAGCAGCCAACTGACATCATTTCGAGCTAATATACTCGTAGTACGTGAATTTACTGATGCATGAGCTTGATATTGCGAAGTCATCGTTGATACTTCTCATTTCTGTTCTTTGAATTTATTTCAATATTGCATCAAATCCTTGTTGAATTGATAAACATTAAAAATGCCTTTCAAATTACAGTACTTGATTCTACAGGCTAAATAACCCTGTATTTCCAGGGTTATTACTGTACCTGAGTAATGCTGGAGTATTTTTTATGTGGTTTGATGAAAGGACACTTCTTAAAAAATAAAAGAAGGCTTACGGTATCTGATTCAATTTTATTTTGGTACTGAATTCGTTTTCACATTCATTATTTGTTTAGAATGCGTTAATACGTGTTTTAGAATTTTATATATCACGGTATTAAAAAAAACACAATATATTCAGAAACAAAAAAGTGCAGTAACCAGATGGTGAATCGAAATGGGCTGAAACTTTTAAACCAACGCACATATTTTTGATTGGAAGAAAAGTCAATTCAAGGTACATTTTACTGTAATTTCTCCCGGGTCAGGCAGATTTCCTTAAATGTGCCGATCTTGTAAAACTGCATCAATCGTTTCTTTTTGTCCATTTATTATTACAGTATTTTTCGCACGCCCACAAGAATAAATCCACCTGCCTTGAAATCCTCTGACGGCGGAAAAAGTTTGTAGCAATGGCTTCTCCATTGTATCCAACCAACGTCGCAGTGGAAACCATTCGTCTTCGGGGATTCGTGCACTTGTCGGTGGTTCATTCCGGGGTTGCGCTGACCTCGTTGGGTCACCGACGCCTGGCATACAAATGGAGCAGCTACTCCGCAATTCTCGTCATTCCAGTGTCCTGATGACGAAGGAGGGGATTTTGCAGGATTTATTCAAACAATTGAATACAGTTTTTCTCTGTGCATAATAAACACAGATATTATAGTTATCATTTTTTCTGACGGTTTCTTCGCGCTTGCTTTCGATATTCGAGAGATCATAACCGAAAACGAATAAAAATTCTTCCCGGTATTGATATTTGCAGGCAGAAGTTTTTTTTTTTCAAGGAAACAGACGAAATTTTTTCGTGAACAGGACTGAGATTTTAAAAAAAATTCCCCGCCACAAAATTTTCCACGTAGGGAAAATTATTCAAACGAAAAAAACATTATGTAAATGAGTAATCCCAGAAATTCGGGAATCCTTCTCGAAGGGCAGGACACTTCTTTTTCTCGTGGAAAAAATTATGCTCTGCGTCAACTAAATCACATTTTTTTCTCATATGTTTGGATCACTTAACGTGGAATATGTTTGACGCATTCCTTCAATTAATTCGGCCTAAACAATACATTTTTGGTGCATTTTTTTTACCATCAGAGAGTCGAAGCGTGGCACAGCTTTCCTGAGCTCCGTGGTCGTTGGGTTCGCCGTCTGCCCAAGCTGTAAAGTTTGTTGTTTGCAGACCCCAGCCGAATTCCTGGTTTCGGATTCCTGTACTTGAGTTTGTGGTTGTTGTTGTTGCTGATGTTGGAAAGCGACGAAGTCCGATGTAGAAACGGTCGACGTTTGTGAACAATGCTGCCAACTGTTGGAGAGCACAGTAATAGATTCAAGAATAATCTAATTTCTGTCCATGTTTGAGATCTTCACACCATAGCCAAAAATATACGTTTATAATCAGCTGGTTTACCGTATATGAAGACAGTTTTCGGACAATCAACGAAAAATATGAATGACAACGAACCGAATATGAGGAATTGTGTTCATTGTTCCACATCATCATGTTTGGAAATACCCATTCTTTTTTTAAATCTTTTTTTCACAATAAATAATGAGGATAGTGATTCAGTCACGTTCAAGCATTTTTCTGCTCACAAATGATGCTCATCATCCCAAGTTATATTACCTTTACCTGTCTTTGAACCCTGGAGTTTATTAGAGGCTGGCATCTATTGGAGACCCGGCTTCTATTAGAAGATATACGGTAGATGCAATGCTAACATTTTCTAACTTTCCACAAGAAATTGTACAAACTACACAAAATGCAAAAATGCATCCAATCAGGTTCACTTGCCCTAAATCTTCAAAACTTGTAATAATAATGCTCAATAAGCATGCAACAGTCTTTTTTTTATTACAACAACTTAAAAAATAACATGTATTCTCACAGTTTTCCCAAATACACTCGTATTTTTTTGAAACCAACATGTGAACCAAATACAGATCCTAATCCTTGTGAACACCCTTCTGTATCTACAACAAAAATTGAAATTCATATTTCTTCCAATGGTTTTCAACCACTTCAAAGCTAAGCCAAGCTAAAAAATATGATTTTCCCAAGCAGAAAATATAGCAACTTGCTAGAGGCTCTTTGCCATATAGCTCTTGTGCTCTCCCATTTTAGAGGACTGCAACCCATTGGGGTACTGTATTTTTGAAAGATCTCAGAGTTCACAATAAGATGGATATATGCAATAAAGAAAAAATGTATTCAAATATTCTTTGAAAACCACTGGTTTTTGGGGTGGCTCCAATTTTTGTCTAAATCCGTTGGATGAGAAAAAAACAAGGGGCAAAAAAAATTAAAAATTGTCCAGAAGATTTTTTCAACTCCAAAAGATAAGAACCTGATTAATACCAATGAAATTACAGAAGGCATTAGTAACCACAGGGAAAATTCAATCGGATAACTTCTCCAGAATGCAAGTGTTCCTGAATATGTCTCAATTGAGCTCTAGGAGAAATGACCCCTTTTTTAGCTTCATGAAATGCAAGTTTTACTGATGGAAAATCCTGGACGGTTGGAAATTCATTTTTGCACTTGTTTCAGATGAAGCAAACATCTTTTTGATGAAGATCATGATCTTCATTGAGTAATTTTCTGCTCAAAACACCCTTAAACACCGCGACGAATGTTTTTCGTACGCGTCATTTATCATACTATAGGCACACGAATATACTTTATGAAAAAAAGTTTAAATGTTTCACCATAGCGGTTTTCATGTCAACTCTGAGAACATTCAAGAAACACCCCCCTCCTTGCACCATCAAGCACTGATGCTTCGTCATCAGGTAGAATTCATCATTCGCTGCTGGGCCTGGTGCAAGTCTGCCACTGTCCTCACTATCCACGGCAAGTACGCCCTCACGTCCGTGAAGACCACGGGTATGACCGATGACCCGCAGACCTCGGGTCCCCACGAAACGACCCCGGCCAGGAAGGTCGCATTCCGGCGAGTGGGACACACGAAGGGGCCGCCAGAGTCGCCGAAGCAGGCATTGGCCAGTCCAGATTCCACGGCAGCGCAAAGGTGCAGGTCCTTGCTGAAGGATTGTCCGTAGACGCGACGGAACACAGTGAGTCTCTCTTGGCATCGGGAGTCCGGCACGATTTTCAGTTTGGCGTATTGGAGGCGGGAGGCGTCTTCGATCCCGTAGGGGTCCGTCGATCCCCAGCCGGAAACGATGCAGTCAGAGTCTGTGTTTTTTTTTTGAGTGGATAGCAAATTTGAGTGAAAACTTTTTTTTAAACCACATCTTTATCAATACCAGTAAAATCTGGTTTAAAAAAAAGTAAGGCTACAGCAAAGGACTTGGCATCAGAAACTTGAAAAAAGACCTGACAGAGAGCGGAGCCAATAGAGTGCATGTCAAAACAATCTTGGTTTGACAGACTTTGTAATTCCAGTATGCAACACTTTTTTGAGGAATGTTCTACAGATTCTCTGGGTATACATTTTTTGACTTTAAGACAGGCACAGTCTGAAATTACAAATATGCAATGTGACTGAAGGATCATTCAATGGCAAACATTTTCTGGAGTATTTACAAATATCATTCTCTAACAATGGAGAGAATGAAGAGATGAAACTGATGGAATACCTGATTGAAGTTAATTTTTGACGGTCACTCAGTTTTTCAAACAATAATTGTTTTGGAAGATAAATTTAGAAGGTTTTTTACTTCAATTTAGTCTTCTGTTTAGCTGGCTCAAGTTATGAAAAGAATTGAATGTTTTTAATCTTGTGTCTTTTTTATATCAAGCACAGGATGCCCCACAAAAGCAAAGAATACTTTTGGAAAGAAGGCACAGCCTTATTATTTTTTGTTTTGTTTTGCCATGTACAGGTTGCACAAAGAAAGGGTTTGGTTGCACCATGCGCATTTTGAAGCCTTTTGTGACCTGAAAAGTTATTTTTTGGAAACGCATTTTCAATAAGAAACGCGCATTGCATGAAATTTTATGTTGAGATAAAAGAGATGGGGTACATTGCAATACAACTTTTAAGAGGTCAAACAATTTTTTATCTTCATTTTTTTGCAGAGTTATAAGCTTTGGTATTTTGCAAATCAAGATTATGCCATGCGTGCAGCTTTTTGTTTTGCTTAGTTTTGTGTTTATTTTACCTGATTTAAATCTTGATTTTACTCAAAAACTGTGCACAAGTTTTATTTTGATTGAAGTTTACCTGTTGAGTGCTGAACATAAAAAATGCATGAGTCTCTTTTACAAACATTGGAGAGGTACAGACTTTTTTACTTCCCTGTGAAAGTAACCCTGAATCACCTATAAGCTATAACACCCAGCAAACTGCATAATTGCTTGTAGTCTCAGTTATTCCTCTATATCTGGGCAAAGTTATTTATTTTAAAGTTGGGAAAATCCCCAGCAGAAAATAAATCATCTGAGAATGTCAGAAAAACTTGATTTAATCGATTGCAGGCAGGTGTGATGCAAAAATTTGTTTACAGCAGTCATTACGTTTTAATACATTTTTAAAATAAAATATTCAATATAAATTTAGTAAAGACAGTATTATTGCTCTATTTTGCAACTCTGCATCTAATTCATGTTTTGGCAAAAGTACAAGGGGCGAAACAAAGGTCAGTTGCTTTTTTCTCAATTTGAATATGAGCTTTATACAGTAGCATAAATTATTTTTCTAATTCTTCCTGGGTTATGTTCAAAAGTAGGCACGCTTCATAAAATTACATTACTTCGGGGTTCAAATTAATATGGATAAAAGTAAATCGTCTAAATCACTTAACTGCATGGATCCACTTTCTTGGCATAAATTAAGAGAAATCTCTGGATATTTTGGCAAGAACCAATATGAAAATGCAGTACAGAAAGAAAAACACAAATAAATCCACGGAGACAAAATTAGTCTCAATTATAACTCACCAGGTTTGACAATCGTGGTTTCTTTCGGTAGAGGAATATGTTGCACAAATGAGTTGAAGTCGAAGTCAGTTTCCAAAAGAATGATTCCCAAGTCGTTCAAAGCATTAACACTAATACGAAAAGCATTTCAGTGAATAATTCATTTTTTTGCTCCCTTGGCGCAAAAAAAATCCTAAACATTACTCACGGATTGTATTTTGGATGAGCTTCCATTCGTTCTACGCGGCGGACTTGCATTGAACTCGCCGATGAAGATCTATCCGTTATTCCTGCGACTGCCTGCAAAAATTATTTATTTTCAAGATTATTTCATACACATGTATCAGTTGAAGAAAATGTAAACAGCTTTTATTTCACATGAAATAAACCTACCGCGAGTTCCCAGGCCTGGAAACCTTCAATGCAGTGACCAGCAGTCAAGGCGATATTTTTGCGCAAAATCGTTCCTCCGCAAAAATGAACCACGCCATAAAACTGAATGCTTATTTGCCATGGAAGCTGTTCTGGAATTGAATAGAAAATTTGCATGGATTCCCTGAATTTTTGCATGCACAAAACTTACCTCCATTCTTTAATTGAAAGCAAGTCGTTCTAACACCCCATTGAAAAACGCAATCTTTGGATAGAAAAAAACCGCAGATCTTTTTTAAATATTTTTTTTTACTTTCGGGATGATTTTCTCAAAAATTTATTTCGGCCTTTTTTTGTAAACCCTCGACCTGGTAGCCGACATCACATTTATCTTATAAGAACTTCGAGTAAAATATGCATGTAATGTTTCATGAATCCACTCAAAATTGATTTTTATCAATAATAGGAAAAGTAAAAATTGCACTTGAATTTTGCGGAGCTCCTTCTGAATTTAATTGCTGCATTTCTCACCTGGAACAGCGTCGGAGCCTCCGAAAATTTTCGAGTGAACGTCATCCTGAGTCTGTTTCCAGAGCACTTTCAAGAGCACGTCTCTCAACAAAAATCTGGCAGCTGCACCTGTTTTTCCTTGCACTGAAATAGTTTGCAAGAAAAAAAAAAACTCTTTGTAATTTCATTTTCATTCCTTCAACAATGTTATTGCTCACAAACGTCGCGGATTCCCGAAGCTGGGCCTTCGAGTTGCACAGGCATTTTCAAGTTGCCAACGGCGCCTCTGACGAGTTGTCCCAGTGTTGCCAATCCTCTTGAAAACAAGAATGGCATTGACAACAGCCTGGTGGCTCTTTTCTCCTTTTGTTCGTCGGAGTTCCTCACTAATGTCAGTTGTCTTTTGAACGGCCTCAGGTCCAACACATTCGTGTGTTTCGGCAACAATGCAGAGCTTCTTTCTGATTTTTTTGTACCAGTAGACAAATATTTTCGAGAAAAGTTAGTTGATATTTGCAAGAGGAGCTGTCCTATGACCCGTGTTTACATCGGTTTAGCAAATTAAAATTCTGGAACTAACCTTTGCAATTGTCATATTTACGCTTGAAAGTAAGAAAGTATCGGAATCTTTTTAATTGTCTAAAAGTCGCTGATGTGTGTCTCGTTAAAAAAAAATAATGTCGTCTCCGTTGTGGTGAAGTACTTTAGTATTTGATTGCTCCTGGCCAACGTACGACAGTACTCTAATCAATGAAATTAATTCGAAAAATCAATGAAGCAAAACCATGATATCATTTAATACTCACAACTTTAGTATCCTTAATCATTCCTGCTCGATATATTGACGAAGATTGGGATGGTGTAACATTCGAGTATCATCAAAAAACTCCTCAGTTGATTCAGAAATGTGCCACTTTGAACACGCGACAAATCTTTATTTGAAAATGGATACGACTAGTTTCTTTCTCAGCATAAAAATGAGTCAACTTTGATTTAAGATACGTTATTCTCTTCAAAACTGCATTTTAGATTAAATCCATTAACACTTTTAAATGAGCACTATTATCAGCATCATCAGAAAGCCCACAGAGTACAGCATAAATAATTAAAATTTAATCAACTCATCAGAGAAGAACGAAAAGCGAACAACCGAAAATCACGGACTTCCCAAGAAAAGAGGGCATCTCTGGGAAAGGCGTTCCTTTTTTGAATTCTTCGGAAAGCTAGAAATGCAGAATCACTTCAGGTCATTGTCAAAATTTGTTTTCATCCTTCAGGAAAATTCTCTATATTATATCTCTCGAATCGATCATATCTGGACAATCATCTGATCGTGAATTCGTGACCAATGGCATAAATAAATGAGATTTTGTACCAACAGTGTTGCCAAAAGTTCATTTGTAAAACAAACCAAAAATTGCAGTCCTCTGTATATACTCACCGGATCCCGAAGTATTTCCCGTGAAAACCACGACCCCCAAGATTACGATGACAGCAACAAAGAAAGCTTTCTCCAACTTCATGATGATGCACACCTTCTTTCAAAAATCGCACTTGAAAACTTTTCTGTCGCACTAACCCGGAAGTCGCACTCTATCACGTTTTTTTTTTTCTCTTTTTTCTAGATGCTCTCAGGACATATGTTCTCAGTTTCACGACAGCAAGTGAAACTCAGACTGAACCCCGAAGATTTGTTTGTCTCACTGGCTTTTTTTTAATGCGAAGTCACCGAATGACGTGAAGAGTAGAGGGGAGCGTCGGGTAAAAGAAAATGCGGCGATTTTGCATAAAAATAGTTAAAAAAAAAAAAAAGGGTATGTGAAGAAATATCAACTCATCCTTCCCGGTCGAAAGATTGCAAAATGTCTTTTGTGATGTAAAAGTGACCGGCAGTAATTCATTGGGTTTGTTATGTTGGAACGTACACGCGTTCATCGATTTCATTTTGATTTCCGAGAAACAAAGCGCGTATAGTCTTTGAGCGTTGTAGGAAAATTAAATAAATGTGAAGCTACTCATGAAACAATGAGTAAGCTGAATTGAGGCGACGAGTCATTTCGTGGATATGCCGCATATTTATTGAATGCTGACAAATGAGTCTATATTTCTAGCAGAATCCATTTCATTCCACCATTGATTCATTTGCTGCGTCACAATGTGACATATTTTTTCGTCGAATTTTCTGGGCTTGTGAATCATCAAAAATTGTAATAATTCTCCCCAACGATCTTCAAATTACCGAGGAACAGTATATATGAGCTATGAAAAATAAGTTTGTTTTTTATGCCCAATCTTTTTGAAACGAGGTTTTCTATCCGGAAACTGCGGGGGGAAAATGCCTCAAAGCAAAGTTTTGGCACCCGCTTAACTTTAAAGTTTTACTTGCATTGGTCCATCAGTACCACTTTCATTTGAGAAAAAGTGATATTAAAAAATGTCACCCAGTTTTACACATGCAAATTAAATTAATAGGTCATTGCATAATGAAAAAAATCTTTTCCAGCTGGATTTTTTCAAGCTGTTGAGGAATGAATCAACACAACATAAAGAATTGAACCATAGCACAGTGGAAGAAATGGTAAGAAATAATATGGCAGGGCAATTAGCTAATTTTTGGCTGGGATTCTGTAATTTAGGGTGTACCTTGATTGCATATCCCAAGTTTTGTCTGATTAAATCACAGTACACAATAAATCACAATGCACAAATGATGCATCACAATAAGTATAATAATGCAAACCACATTCAATAAATATAATAAATTTGCGCACACAAATTTAGGGTGCAGTAATTCAATGCAATAATTCAATCAAAAGAATTGGGGTTGCATTGTTTGAGGGAATAAGTTTACAGTAAGAGCTAAATTAAAGGACTGATTATTGGGAAGGAAAAACAATGGGTTTTTTCAGTAGACTTGACCAAAGCACTGGACTTTTTCCCTTGCCTGTAATTGGTGGGAGAAATGTGCATCAAAGAAGTTGTGCATCGAGAGAACAAGATGTACAGAAGAAAAGTTCCAGGACCAGAATTCAGGTCCCAGGACTTGATGTCACTGGGCCCAAATTCTGGTTCCCCAACACATGCAAAAATTTCACATACTGAAAGAGATGTCCCTTCAATCATAACAGTAAAATGTTCAAGCCATTCCACATAGTTACAGAACATATTCAATAATGGACATTTACACCTGGTGTGTGTAAGAGGTCTCAACTGAGCATAAAATATTGGTTTAACCCTCGGACGGTGGAGGGTTCTTTCCTATAGCAGGACAAAATTGGATTATTTTTGTATGCTCCCTCATTTTAAGTTTTTAGAAGGTCAGGAAAACCCTTCCAGGTGGGCTGAGGCAAAGTCGGGATTAATCCGAGAAAAGCCGGTAGCGTCCCTGAGCATTTTTTTAATTTTCCGGAAAATTTTTTCTGCCCCCAGGGAAAAAAACGTCAGGATTTTTTCCGACTTTGCCATTCACCGCCTGTTTTTATTTTTTCTTGACCTCTCTGAGGTGCAACGAAATTTTGCAAAAATACTCCAACTTCGCCGCCCAAGGGTTAAAAATTATTCTGCTTAAATTGAAGTGATGCCTGACAATATCAAGCTCTATGATTTCTCAAATGCAAGTTTTTTCTGGGATAGAAACTACAAAACTTTGTCTTCATTCATTGTTTGCCATTTTAAATAATTTCAAATTGTAAAATTGAATCTCTTTAAAATTTATGAATTTTTGGCTGGTAAATTTTGGTACGCAATTCAAATTTTTCAGTGAATCATTTGTTCAATTTATTTACAGTTGAACCTCTCTAAGTCAAATTTGAAGGGACCAGAAAACAATTTTGACTTTGTGAAAGGTTTTGAGTTTCATTGGATTGCATATGTTTCACTTATATAATCAAGCATTTTTATTGTGGGAAACATTGAAGAATTGAACTGAATTGTGCAGTACATTGTGATATTCTATGCCTCAAATTGTTTCTAAAAGGAATTGACAGAGCACTCAACTTGGAGAAAGGGGTTCATTTGCCTAATTTAGTCTGTCACATTCTGTCAAAGCACATCAAATTCCATTTTTATTGTTTCTTCTTTCCTGTTCCAATACAATAATAACCTAAAGGCCTAAAAAATTTGACTTATGAAGATTTCAGAGAAAAAGCCTTTGAGTTAGGGAGGTTTTTAATGCATTATTTTAAAGGAATAAAAAATTGACTAATAGGGAGGTATTTTACTTAGAGAGGTTTTACTTGGCAAGGTTCAACTGTGTAAATTTCCTTGTATATGGATTTTATTTCTGCATGTTATTTGCAATTCGGGGCCCAACTGTGATTTTGTTGTGGCACGTCATTTATAAACATTCAAAATTTGTCTCAAACATATTGTATGATCCGCTTGCTTTTCTGAATCCGCTTTGTGCATTCCTTTGATATGAATTGCATGCGAAAATTTGATACAATCTTACCTGTCCGCGGTGCAACAAGAATTCATTGGTGTTTTCATCCATAATCACGACGAGTTCAGATCCAAAGTCCCGGCACTTTGCTTGTGCTAAATCCCACGGAAGTTGTTCGTCGTCGTTCAATTCGCCGACAACATCAGTCTTGACACGTCCGACGTCAACGACGTTCTCCGACATTTGATGTCGTCCCAGGCCGAAAAATCCGTAGCAAGTTCCCGAATAAAAATGCCAACCCGGTTTCCCTTGTTTTTCACATCGATCTTCTTCAAAGGTCGGGGGAAAAAAAAGAAATCATTAGATTTTGGGTCAAGGTTTTTCTTTTTGTAAATTGAAAGCAGACTTTTGGAAATATCTTAGCTCACTTTTTGGTCGAGATCCGAAAACATCTTTCATACTGATCTCGTTTTCTGTAAAAACCAAAAGGACTTGTTTTCTTCAAACCCTCCTTTTTATTATTTGGATATTTTGAAAGCACGTTATGCAAAATAGGAAACACAATCTTAATTCAAGATGCTCTGTTACGAAGAGCTACAATTAACATACGTGTGGCTTTCATTCGGATTAAATTGCAGTAATCCTGACAATTAACTCCAAGTTTTCAACTTTCTTGAATTCAAATATTTTTGGGGCTACAAAAGGCAAAGCTTTGCCGAGTTTTTTTTATCACAACTTTTTTTAAAAAACTTGTTAAAAAATGTCTTTTTTTCTGGTAAATTTTGTTACACTAAACAAAATAGGAAACCGAATTTTCATTGCGTATGTTCAGTTACGAAAAGCTCCAATTGACATGTTTGGCTTGTATTCGAATCAAATTAATTTAATCCTGAGATTCCTGACAATTAACTCCACGTTTTCAACTTTATTAAACCCTCGAACACATTTTAAACTGCAAATGCCAAAGTTTTCATTTTATTTTAAAAATCACAAAATATTAACTTGAAAGGTTGAAAACAATGAATGCTTTTTTTTTTGGTAAATTAAGGTACGCGGAAGAAAATATGTTCAGTGATGAATTTTCTTTGATCTGATACTAGGGCTCATTATGCCATTATACGAGTGTTACGCTTTGTTTTTAGCCACCGTACGTAGTCGTACTCTCGTAACTTAATTTATTAGTAGTACGCTTCGCTGGCAATAGGCCTATTAGGGGTAAAATTGGCCCTTCGTCTAAATTTCGGCACATTTCTATGTTCCACGTTCCCCATACCATTGCTGAATAAACACCACTGTCGAGTATAATTTTCATACTTGAAGAAATGAATGTGTGGAGGCCAGCTTGGCTACCAAAAATTAAAAATTTTAAATGAAGTGAAAATAAAAACGGGAGGAAAGGATGCAGAAAATAATGCACCGAGTCGTTGATCGATGAAGCCTGGTCTCCAAAGCCCGGCTCGAACTTGGCACACGAACCCCTTGAGGGACTCGCATTTGGCGGACGCGACGGACAGGGCGGAAGTGTCGGAAAACTCCGGCCCCATCGCGGCACACGCTCTTTTGGCACGGTGACCGGTTCGCTGATTTTTAGCACGCTGTGGGCTGTTCATTCTGCTGCTGCTGCTGCTGCTGTTTACTGGGGCATCCCTGACGACGACGACGACGCTGTCCCGCGTTAACAGCGGTTCCCCGAATCGCCAAGGAACCGACCGCTCTGACTCGGGCTTCCCGTCAACCCACTCCCAAACTTACTCGCCAATTATGCATGAGCAGGAGAAAAAAAATTGGGGGAAGAAATTGCTTATTCCTGAGTTGACTTTTTATTCAATTCAGGTTCCGGACAAATTAGCATACGATGATTGATTGATGTACAAGCTTTATTCATTGCTTATTTACTGTCAGCATTATTTTCAAAGCTCAAAAAAGTTTCCAATACCCCTCCATGAATCCCTTTGACAAATTCTGATGGCCTATAAAAAAATCACTGGCGTATCAAAAAAAGCAGCAAGAATAAGTCACTGATGTTCAAAACAAGAATTGTACGGTGTTCAGCTAAGGAAAGCAAGCAGAAGGAATTACTTTTTGAAATTCTGATGGCCTATAAAAAAATCACTGGCGTATCAAAAAAAGCAGCAAGAATAAGTCACTGATGTTCAAAACAAGAATTGTACGGTGTTCAGCTAAGGAAAGCAAGCAGAAGGAATTACTTTTTGAAACGTAGCATGCAGGCATTGCAACAATACACTGCCTGATACACCCAAGAAAAACAGAAATAATTGTTTTTTGTAATGTAGCAGGCAGGTGTTGCAATTTACTGCCTGTTACACTGAAGGAAAGCAACATCCTAAAATGTTAAAATATCGGCATAACAATAGATGGCATCACATACGCAATCGCAATGCATTGCACAAGAATTTATTATTACATCAGGCCTGAAGGTAGCAGAAGAAGCTGAATGTAACAGATATGCATAGCAAATGCATGGTGCTATGTGTAGCTGTTACATCCAGCCCAGCCTGTTACCAATTATTTGCTGTGGCCTGTTCCCAGATAATTTTAATGGATAAAAATGGATGAAAAATTTATGAAGAGAAATCTCAGTTTGATGCTTGGAATTTTCTTAGATGCTTTTCACTTTTGTACTGGAGCTTTGACACTTTTTAGCCTCAGCTTATAATAAAGGGAACTTTTTTTTTAATTGCTGTGCTGTATCAACTCTTTCCGGACAACATGTCAGTTTTTTAACGCTGCTCCAAGCAATGCCAATTTTCTTAAAATTTCGTCAATATACTCGTATGCTACCTCTGAAATTAAATAAGAAATAGAGTAGAAATCAAGTACAATTGATTCGCTCCCTATGTTTAATGCGAGTGAGTCGAAAGGAAGATCATCAATGTTTTCATTTCGGCATCGGATCTAAAATTTATCGGCTATAGTTGAAAAGTTAGAACCCTGTTTCAGATTATTACTGCCGTACATGTCAAGCCAATGGATTGAGGTTTTTATAATAAATACAGCATTCAAATTCAGCGAACTAATAAGGAAAAGTGGAAGATGAATTACAGTATGTGGCTGATTTTCAATTCAAGTTCCAGGTTCTACAGGGTCGCCTAAAATAGCGTATTCATGGAATAAGTCCAAAGATTTCATCATACACCAAACTACACATACGACATTCACAAAAACAAAAATCCTCTGGACTTCCCTGAAATTTGATTTGGGAGAAAAAGTACGAAAATATCTAATCAAAGTAAGAATAGCTGTCGAGTCCAATAAATCTTTTCCTCCAATCCTCTCGGGCACTCACTCGAATTCCCTTTCCTCTGCTCTGATTTAAAGATTGTACAAAAAATGCTTTCTACTTTAATCCCAAAACAGTCGAAACACTTTCAATGATCGATTCAAGAATTTTCTCCTTCTTTTCTATAAATTTTAGACACGTCCTCATGATGGAACCCAGTCGAATTTCAGAGAAACAATCATGTTATAGCTGTTCATCATCTGAAAAACAGGATGGTGTTAATCGCCTCTCCTCAGTCATTGAAATTGTCAGGCAGTTTCAAAATATAGAATTTTTGCTGAACACATTCGGGAATTCCGAGAAAATATTCGAAAGTTGCAGTGGGGTTAAGGTGACAAATTTTCACAGAATTAGGCGGAAAATAATTTCCCGCATTTCATCGGATGGAGTCAAACCGAGGCGCATCAATAAAGGAAATAAAATAACATATTTACAAAAAATAAAAATAATTTTCTAACCTCGTTTTCGGTTGCTTTTGAGTCCGATCCACAAGTCGAAAGCATTATTCCACCTGCTTCCCTGCATATGTTCCCTCTTCAATTCCCTTACGCGAGAAAAAAAGAATGAATAAAAATGCTGTGTAATAAATTCAAGGACTTCAAAGAATCTTCAAAAAATGTGTCTGTGCACCTCTGTTGCTGTTATTATTAAACTAACGAGGTACCTGAAGACACGAGAGGCTGCAGCCAGGTCTTCAAAGACAGCTAAATCAGAATCAGCGTGGCTCCAGTTGGCAGACACAGTGGCTGTAGAATTCAAGTTCGATGATGGCATCGACCCGCACATTTTCCGCGCCTCCGACCAGGTCAACAATGTCATCGCATTGTCCTTATGGAGACTGAAGAAGATCTGCAGAAAAAATGTTGTTGAGGAGGAAATGATGCAGGTTGCATCACGTATAGGTCGCAAAATCAGCTGGGGGAGGCATGCCAGGTTCTCGGAGTGTTTGAAAATTCTTTTTTTTTTTTTTTTTTTCTAAAATTCAAAGCTAAAATTTGAGATTCATTCGAACTAACTTTGTAACATTTGCCTTCGTGGAACGTCCAGCGAACCGGACATGACCCGTTTTGCTCCGCAACCCCATCTGGTTCCTCTCGCTGTCCATGTTGTTGCAGTTGATTTTCTTGGGCTGCTGTGGAACCATCCCTGAAAATGAGCGGCCCCCGAGTTTTTGCCTCGGAATCCCGCCCAGTTAACGTCAACTGAGAGGAAGATTGATTTTGTCCGGGTCCCTCGGGGAACCCGAACCCACTCAGGGACTTGTTATTGCCGTAGGCGTGGTAAAGCGAGACGTTGACCGCTTTCTGCTGATCCTGTTCCTGAACGCGGTTCAGCAACCCGGGGTATTTTTCCTTATCCTGCGTCGTCGTCGGCAACCCGGGATANAATTCTGATGGCCTATAAAAAAATCACTGGCGTATCAAAAAAAGCAGCAAGAATAAGTCACTGATGTTCAAAACAAGAATTGTACGGTGTTCAGCTAAGGAAAGCAAGCAGAAGGAATTACTTTTTGTAACGTAGCATGCAGGCATTGCAACAATACACTGCCTGATACACTCAAGAAAAACATAAATAATTGTTTTTTGTAATGTAGCAGGCAGGTGTTGCAATTTACTGCCTGTTACACTGAAGGAAAGCAACATCCTAAAATTTTAAAATATCGGCATAACAATAGATGGCATCACATACGCAATCGCAATGCATTGCACAAGAATTTATTATTACATCCAGCCTGAAAGTAGCATAAGAAGCTGGATGTAACAGCTACTGTATGCCTAGAAAATGCATGGTGCCATGAGTAGTTGTTACATCTAGCCCAGCCTGTTACCAATTATTTGCTGTGGCCTGTTCCCAGATAATTTTAATGGATAAAAATGGATGACAAATTTATGAAGAGAAATCTCAGTTTGATGCTTGGAATTTTCTTAGATGCTTTTCACTTTTGTACTGGAGCTTTGACACTTTTTAGCCTCAGCTTATAATAAAGGGAACTTTTTTTAAATTGATGTGCTGTATCAACTCTTTCCGGACAACATGGCAGTTTTTGCACGTTGCTCCAAGCAATGCCAATTTTCTTAAAATTCCTTCAATACATTCGTATGCTACCTCTGCAATTGAATAAGAAATAGAGTAGACATCTGGTACAATTGAGTCGCTCCCTATGTTTAATGCGAGTGAGTCGAAAGGAAGATCATCAATGTTTTCATTTCGGCATCGGATCTAAAATTTATCGGCTATAGTTGAAAATTTAGAAACCTGTTTCAGATTATTACTGCCGTGCATGTCAAGCCAATGGATTGAGGTTTTAATAATAAATACAGCATTCAAATTCAGCGAACGAACAAGGAAAAGTGGAAGATGAATTATGCGGTTGATTTTCAATTCAAGTTCTAGGTTCTGCAGTGTCGCCTAAAATAGCGTATTCATGGAATAAGTCCAAAGATTTCATCATACACCAAACTACACATACGACATTCACAAAAACAAAAATCCTCTGGACTTCCCTGAAATTTGATTTGGGAGAAAAAATACGAAAATATCTAATCAAAGTAAGAATAGCTGTTGAGTCCAATAAATCTTTTCCTCCAATCCTCTCGGGCACTCACTCGAATTCCCTTTCCTCTGCTCTGATTTGAAGATTGTACAAAAAATGCTTTCTACTTTAATCCCAAAACAGTCGAAACACTTTCAATGATCGATTCAAGAATTTTCTCCTTCTTTTCTATAAATTTTAGACCCGTCCTCATGATGGAACCCAGTCGAATTTCAGAGAAACAATTATGTTATACTTGTTCATCATCTTTTTTTGTCCTACCACAATTAGCGGAGAGGAGTCAGTAACTTTAACAGTCCGTCAAAGTTTTATATCTTAAAAACGACTTGTGTAAGCCCTTAAGGCTCTTTTATAAGCTTTCAACGTCACCCCAATTAGTGACAAATTTTCACAGAATTATGCGGGAAAATAATTTCCCGCATTTCATCGGATGGAGTTAAACCGAGGCGCATCAACAGAAATGAAAGAATATATTAAAAATAAAATAAAAATAATTTTCTAACCTCGTTTTCGGTTGCTTTTGAGTCCGATCCACAAGTCGAACGCATTATTCCACCTGCTTCCCTGCATATGTTCCCTCTTCAATTCCCTTACGCGAGAACAAAAAATGAATAAAAATGCTGTGCAATAAATTCAGCGACTTGAAAGAATCGTCAAAAATATGTGTCTATAAAACTCTGCTTTTACTTGTACAGTATTATTAAACTAACGAGGTACCTGAAGACACGAGAGGCAGCAACAAGGTCTTCAAAGACAGCTAAATCAGAATCAGCGTGGCTCCAGTTTGCAGCAGACACAGTGGCTGTTGAATTCAAGTTCAATGATGGCATCGACCCGCACATTTTCCGCGCCTCCGACCAGGTCAACAATGTCATCGCATTGTCCTTATGGAGACTGAAGAAGATCTGCAGAAAATATGTTGTTGAAGGAGGAAATGATGCAGGTTGCATCACGTATAGGTCGCAAAATCAGCTGGGGGAGGCATGCCAGGTTCTCGGAGTGTTTGAAAATTCTTTTTTTTTTTTTTTTGCTAAAATTCAAAGCTAAAATTTGAGATTCATTCGAACTAACTTTGTAACATTTGCCTTCGTGGAACGTCCAGCGAACCGGACATGACCCGTTTTGCTCCGCAACCCCATCTGGTTCCTCTCGCTGTCCATGTTGTTGCAGTTGATTTTCTTGGGCTGCTGTGGAACCATCCCTGAAAATGAGCGGCCCCCGAGTTTTTGCCTCGGAATCCCGCCCAGTTAACGTCAACTGAGAGGAAGATTGATTTTGTCCGGGTCCCGCGGGGAACCCGAACCCACTCAGGGACTTGTTATTGCCGTAGGCGTGGTAAAGCGAGACGTTGACCGCTTTCTGCTGATCCTGTTCCTGAACGCGGTTCAGCAACCCGGGGTATTTTTCCTTATCCTGCGTCGTCGTCGGCAACCCGGGATATTCCCGTTTTTTATTACCTTCAACGAGGCCAGTGTCGTCGTCGACACGGTTTCCCACTTGCCGCGAATTCCCAACTCGGCCATCTTGAACTTTGCCCGAGTGCCCGTTGGAATTCCGGACAAGGTCTACTTCCGGTGGAGAATATTTTGCGAGGGCCACGTTCATTTCCGGACTCTCTCGAGAGCGATTTTTCTCTGGCGACGTGGAAACGAAGTTCGGCTGCTCTCCTCGGCGTGTCGTCGAAGCCTATATAATGCCGACACATTAAGAGACGACGAAACTAATTTAAAGTTTCGTGTTCTCGGTGACCTTCATTTTGTTTTATTTATTTTTTTTTACAGGGGGTGAGTGTGAGCTATATAGAGATCCTTCAATGGGAAAAAGTCCGATGTACTGTACAGTACATTCTTGTCCAGGGATTTCCCGTCTCTCGATTCCCGCCAAAAAAAAAATAAAAGCTGAAATGCGAACATTTTCACTGGAATATAGGGCGGACCCGAAGAAAGAATAGCAAGAAAGCTGAAAATTCTTCTATAGTACGTGAAATATTATAGTACTGTACTTGAAGAAAAACATAATTTAAATCACAACTCACGTTATGAGCCATTGCCATTGTGATACTAACCGAAGAAAGAATAGCAAGAAAGCTGAAAATTCTTCTATAGTACGTGAAATATTATAGTACTGTACTTGAAGAAAAACATAATTTAAATCACAACTCACGTTATGAGCCATTGCCATTGTGATACTAGTACTACTGTTTGATTAATCCCCTTTCAACATTACCGACAAAATCTGAAGGGATTCTATGAGAAATGCCGAATAAAAAAAAAAAAGAACCCAAAAGTTACTATACCACATTATTGGATTATATCCGTCATTTATGGATGCATGTAATTTTCAGAACTAAATTTATATGATCGTGTTTCAAATTCCTGCCATTATAAAACTCGCTCAAATAGTCAGATCACCTCTGAGCTAAATAATAGCAGACATAATTTGGTAAAAATCTGCGCAGAGAAATTGTTTTCAAATGCTTTCTGGCTGGGTTTCAATAAGTTGTTAGAAATTTCGTTTGTATTAATAATTATAGACACGACGTTTTAGAACGTGAAACATTTGCGGAGGATCACCCATAAATAATATTTTGTTCGGCGCAGAATTTTGAAATGCCCAATATTAACAATAGCAAAAAACATTCAAGATTCTCGCAGGATTTACAAGAATCTTTTCTGGGTGTGTATACTAAAGCGGATTTCTTCATTACGTAAGGTCCAAGTTTTTTTTTCAGTCAAGAAAAGCCAACGAACAATCCATAAATTCACCAATAAAAGTATCATTTGCAGCTTTTGATGAAAAATAAACTTATGATTAACGTTATGTACACTTTTTGAATGGGTTCACGTGAGAGGGTTTCTGTTGCGTAAATGATTGAAAAGTAATTACTTCGATCATGCAGTAAAAGAGTAATTTTAAAACATGAGCAATGCAAGTACGTTGAAGACTCGTGGCAATTTTTCAAAAAATGGCATTTATTTATTAGCAGAAAACCCCTCAGTACTGAATTTCCGTGAATTTTGTCGATAAATCCGCATTTTTTTTAGGCAAAGACGAATGTTTCTCACTTTCAGCCAGGAAATTTATTACAGCTTATCTATATTCAAGGATTGGACGCGATTTTTATAATCATTTAGGCAAGATGGACGAGACAGGGACTTATTTTTAAAAATTTGGTGCCGTATTTTCAAGAGCAGTGTGTCTTTGTTCCGTCGAATCAATGGTTTGTTTTTCACATGTTTGAGGACATAATAAAATAAGCGAAGATTTCCAGAACATCAATGGGTGACTCTTGAAATGTTTCCAACACAGGTTTTCACGGATTTTTGTATCGATTCGAAGTCTTATCGACGCCTTTCGGCAATGCTGCAGTCGCACTAAACAAAATGCAGGGGACAAAAAAATTGCTGGATTGACGTCACACCTTGTTTCCAAGAGACCCTTTCAAGATCGACCGGAAGGATGCATTCGTGGCTTTTTCTGAGCTGCCGACTGCATCTTCACCAGCTTGAGGATCTTCAAGCGAAAAATTCCGTGCTTGAATGAAGCCACTTGCAGTCGTTGTCGAGTGTTCAAGACCCTCAGATCCCTCGAAAGCAACTGCTTGAAAGGCCCCAGAGGAAATGAAAAATGAGAATCTGAGGAAGTGGTTCTCGGAAGAAGAAGAAAAAAAACTCGATTCATTGATTTGTGTAGTTTTATTGGCTTACGTGGGATCTCACTGGGATGGATATTTGAAGAGGACGACGAAGTCACGAAAGAAGCGAGGATGATTTCTGCGACGATGACACAGGTCATGAGCAATGTGTCGCATTTTAAATCCAGCATAGTTACGAATAATCTGGATAAATAATGTTTGTCAAAAGCAGACACGGGGAACACATAACAAATGCAGTTGAACCTCCTTGTAAGTCAAACTTCCTTAATTCGTCGAAAATACGATGATTTTTCTTCCCCTTTCGGGAATTTCCGCCATTATTTGTGCCCAGCATAGTGTGCTTGTTCTTTGCTTTTTTTGGGCTCATTCTCATACCAAAAGAGCAGATTTTTTCTGCACATGATAATTTTGCTTCTTGAATATGATGAGAGACAAATTTTAATTCCATTTTTGGGGATTTTTCCCAATTTTTGATCAACAGGCAAAGCAATTGAATATTTGTCCATTGAAGTCTATATGAGAAAACGTTATCCAGCATGCGGACGTTCCATCATTTAGGGATTTAAGGTCCAAACACATACTGCATTACGTCCGCATCTCGGGGCCCAACTCACATGTGATCTGAAAACTTAAAAAGTGGTCTACTGTATTCGTCGACGTGGTTAAAAATGAACAGCTCTTCATATCACCCAATAAATTCAACATCGATGTAAATTATTAGTTCAAGAGTTGAACGTAATCTACATTTAAATTTTCGTCGTAAATTGACGAGATCCAATAGGCTTCATCAGGTTCAGAAATTTACGAATTATTTCATTGCAGTACTTCATACTGGATACATTTTAGCCGGGTTGATGAAACATTTCCAGAATAAGCTCGCGAGGACCCGACACGACATAAATTTATTTCTTCCGTCAACGCTTGACAGGCACATTTCATGATGAATATTCATGATCTTTCGTCACTAAAAACCCCCGCCTTGGGATGACACAATCCCTTCGTAGAAAGGGCATAATTAACCCAGTGCATCCACTTGTAAGATGTCCGCTTTAGTACCGTATATACACCGCCTTTAGCGTCTTGCCGAAAGGCAACGCTGCAATAAATTTCGCACTTCACTGAGCTTCTCGTAAAGTTTTTTTTTAAAGGAATTTCGCCGTCATTGGGGATTTGGTGTTTTATTCATTTATTTGACACGTTTTTGCACCATCTAGTCATCATGCCATCGTAAAACCGAGCGAGGCATGCAGAAAGCGACTGCAACAAATCAGCGGGATTGTACAACAAGCCAGACGGAGAGTATAGACAAACGTTCGCAGCCTTACGACGATAACACGGCTGCCAACGACCGGAAGTACTGTTCTTCCAGCAATACATCTTTCATTCTGTCGACAGCAACAACAACAACAGCGAAAGAAAAAGAAGATCTCGTGGGCTGCTAGAATATACCCCAATCAGAGCACATGAAGACATCTTTTCCTTTTCCCAGCAGCTGAAGGATAAAATCGGATATATTCATCGGAAAAATCCCCCAGCATGTTTTCGATCTTTTTATTCTCCGGAACGTCGCTCATCCATCAAACATCTTAGATGCAGAAAATCGGCGAACATTCACCTCGGTCTTATCAAGGTCAAGAAGCCGTACTTGGGAATGTGGGTGTAAGATGGAATGCTGTACAGAACATGAAATACGGATATACGAATAAGCATATAGGAAAAATTCTTGATTTAATGATCATCTGTGATGCTCCGATGGTCATTTTCGGGGATTTTTCACTAATGTGTTCATTTTCTTTACCTCAAGAAATCCAACTGTGAATTCCGGTAATTTGAGGGTATTTTTTCACAAATGAATTTCTTTTCTTTCCTCCAAAAAATCCAACAGAAAATTTAGATCATTTGAGGTGATTTTTTCACAAATCAATTTATTTTCTTTCCTCCAAAGAAATCCAGCTGGAAATATAGGCCATTTGATGAGATTTTTTCACAAATCAATTTCTTCTACTTCCTCCAAGAAATCCAACTGGAAATTTAAAGCATTTGACAGGATTTTTTCACAAATAAATTTCTTTTCTTTCCTCAAAAAAATCCAACAGAAAATTTAGGTCATTTGAGGTGATTTTTTCACGCATCAATTTCTTTGCTTTTCTCCAAGAAATCCAACTGGAAATTTAAAGCATTTGACAGGTTTTTTTTTTTACAAATAAATTTCCTTTCGATCGTACAAGAAATCCAACTGAAAATGTGGATCATTTGAGGGGCATTTTTTCACACAAATATTCGTTTTTCTTTTCTCCAAGAAATTCAACTGAAATTTTATTTTTGGTCCTCCTTGTTCAAACATATGAGTAAATTGTGATACCAAGAACTTTCACGGGTCCTAAAAAATCTTGTTGTGACAATAAGCCTTGTAAAGAATTTAATAATTTTAACGCCTATACGAGAGCTGAGTTTATCAGAGATTTTGTATTGTACATACACTATACCGTCATTATCTGAATTTTCTGTAGATCATTTCCAAAACATTTCACTACATCTTGAGCGTTTTTCCAGCATGTGAACATCGTCAAGGTAGTTGCGGAACCCAATATCAGAGCTCGGACAGAAGAGGGGATATGGGAAGTTCAAATTTCTTCCCTATATAACTCTTTGATCACTGATGAAAAATTGGACATTTCCGATTCTCTTTGATCTCAACAGTCCTCTGATATTGTTCTTTACTCATGTGCAAACGATCGATTTGCTTTTCTGCATTATTCCGTCAGAAGATCGCCCATGTCTTTCCGCTCATATGGTTTTTCCGAAAATCGCTTCCTTCTCTTCTTGAATTTTTTCCTCGGATTTTACCCTCGATGAAATTTTTTTTACGGTAGATTCTTTGCGTATTCTACTGTATTTGGAATCCTAACATTCTGAACGGAATTGTGATTGAATAAATTGCGAGCTTTCATGATATTCAAAATCGAGTTTTGATTAAATTGCTCTATATTATACTGTACTGCAGTTTAGGAGTAATTTTTTTGAATCATGAGACGTTCAATTTTTTTGGCTTAAAAACAGATTTCGAATTTGTGTCCTTCAAATGAATTATCGACTAAATTACGTAGGAGGTTTTTACAAACTTCACGAAAATGATATTTTATTTTCAACATATTTGAGATTTTTAAAAAGTATACTGTAATACGAAAAGGATTTTTTTTTACAGAAAGTGGAACTTTTCTCCTTTGTTATTTCTCGTCCTTTCAGTCTAGTTTTCTTGCAAGGAATCTAAATTCAGACAAGGTTTACAATAATAAGCTTTATTGGAAAATGGATTTTAATCTGCTGTACAGATAAAATTCTGTAACTATGATTCCCTAATTTAAATGATTTGTTGTCCGTTATTAAATAAACAACTTCTGATCAAATATATATAAAAGAATATATTTTATTCACAACCAAATTTGTTTAAGACAAATATAACAAAAACAGACGAGTCTTGAGAGAATCTTGTTAAACATGCACAAGGTTCTCTGAGAAGTAACCGCGGTCGACACAGGATTAAATCTGAGGAAAATATCGTTCCTCAGCAATATATATGCTTTTCAGGAATACAGGTCAACATCAAGGAATGCGGATCAACAACAAAGCATTCCGCATAATATTCATGAGGGGCGCGGACCTCATGAGGCGAAATATCCGNTGTACAACAAGCCAGACGGAGAGTATAGACAAACGTTCGCAGCCTTACGACGATAACACGGCTGCCAACGACCGGAAGTACTGTTCTTCCAGCAATACATCTTTCATTCTGTCGACAGCAACAACAACAACAGCGAAAGAAAAAGAAGATCTCGTGGGCTGCTAGAATATACCCCAATCAGAGCACATGAAGACATCTTTTCCTTTTCCCAGCAGCTGAAGGATAAAATCGGATATATTCATCGGAAAAATCCCCCAGCATGTTTTCGATCTTTTTATTCTCCGGAACGTCGCTCATCCATCAAACATCTTAGATGCAGAAAATCGGCGAACATTCACCTCGGTCTTATCAAGGTCAAGAAGCCGTACTTGGGAATGTGGGTGTAAGATGGAATGCTGTACAGAACATGAAATACGGATATACGAATAAGCATATAGGAAAAATTCTTGATTTAATGATCATCTGTGATGCTCCGATGGTCATTTTCGGGGATTTTTCACTAATGTGTTCATTTTCTTTACCTCAAGAAATCCAACTGTGAATTCCGGTAATTTGAGGGTATTTTTTCACAAATGAATTTCTTTTCTTTCCTCCAAAAAATCCAACAGAAAATTTAGATCATTTGAGGTGATTTTTTCACAAATCAATTTATTTTCTTTCCTCCAAAGAAATCCAGCTGGAAATATAGGCCATTTGATGAGATTTTTTCACAAATCAATTTCTTCTACTTCCTCCAAGAAATCCAACTGGAAATTTAAAGCATTTGACAGGATTTTTTCACAAATAAATTTCTTTTCTTTCCTCCAAAAAATCCAACAGAAAATTTAGATCATTTGAGGTGATTTTTTCACGCATCAATTTCTTTGCTTTTCTCCAAGAAATCCAACTGGAAATTTAAAGCATTTGACAGGTTTTTTTTTTTACAAATAAATTTCCTTTCGATCGTACAAGAAATCCAACTGAAAATGTGGATCATTTGAGGGGCATTTTTTCACACAAATATTCGTTTTTCTTTTCTCCAAGAAATTCAACTGAAATTTTATTTTTGGTCCTCCTTGTTCAAACATATGAGTAAATTGTGATACCAAGAACTTTCACGGGTCCTAAAAAATCTTGTTGTGACAATAAGCCTTGTAAAGAATTTAATAATTTTAACGCCTATACGAGAGCTGAGTTTATCAGAGATTTTGTATTGTACATACACTATACCGTCATTATCTGAATTTTCTGTAGATCATTTCCAAAACATTTCACTACATCTTGAGCGTTTTTCCAGCATGTGAACATCGTCAAGGTAGTTGCGGAACCCAATATCAGAGCTCGGACAGAAGAGGGGATATGGGAAGTTCAAATTTCTTCCCTATATAACTCTTTGATCACTGATGAAAAATTGGACATTTCCGATTCTCTTTGATCTCAACAGTCCTCTGATATTGTTCTTTACTCATGTGCAAACGATCGATTTGCTTTTCTGCATTATTCCGTCAG